ATGCACACCTGTAGCCTCCAGTGACATGAATCAGTTTCTTTGGGGAGATCTGCATACAGTGGTGGTAAGTGGGTGGATAGGCAGATTTGTCATGCAGAATCTTCTGAGCTTGTAACTTTGCTAATGGAGTCCTTGCTTTGAGAGTAGAGGCTCAGCAGAGGGAATTACTTATGGCTTCAGAATCCAGAACACAGTATTTTCCTCTATTAGGGAAGTGGTAGTCAGTTGATTAAAAAAAAATTGCGTAGTTTTCACTTGTAACAGTGCTATAAATGTTAAATATATCAACAAGCATTCTTAGAACTCTGCTGTTCCAATTCTTGCCCGATTTTGTTCTGAACTGGACGGCCAAATTTTCTGTGCAAGCGTACAGAATGTTGTGAATGCTGCAGCCTTTAATTAGTGGTTGCAAATTTGTTTGTCCCATAGCAACTTGTATTTGCATAAAGATTAAGGCCAGTCAAAATGAAAGGGATATGACATAGATGGAGAAAACATTAATAAGTTAGTGCTCATGCATAAAAGATTAGTAGTCTTGAATGTTGTTTCCATAAGCTTTCTTAAAATTGCAGTTCTTTTTTTAAAGATGCAGTTAATATTTTCTCCATTGTTGATGATTTCTAAAGAAAGATCTGTTGTGAGCTGCGGAATTAGAGAAATTAATGTATTGAGGTCAGACGTGAGTATGGAAATTAAGCCTTGCTATTATTCCGTGTGGCACCAGAAGCATTACCTTATATTTGACCTTTCATTCATTCAGCCTGACTCAGCTGTGTCAGTCAGAACAATTAATTCCGAGGAGCAGCTTTAAATTGCAGGTCTCAGCTTTCTTCTCCTCCCCTTGCCTGCTGGAGAGCCCAGGAGGAAGGAGCCAATAGAGAAAGTCTCTGCAGGTTTCTCTTTCTGGAGATTTGTTCTGAATTTTGGAGTTTCTGATCCCTTCCCCGCAGCTCCACTGCAGCACTTGTGCACAGGCATTGTGCAGGGTTTTCAGAGGAACAGGCAGAGCACGTGAACCTCTGTGCTGTGCAGGGGCTCCAGATGGAGACCTGAATGAGGCAGTGTGAGATGCCATTTGGAAATGGTGTTCTGGAGTAAGAAAGAGCTGGGTGATAAATGTGATGTGGAGGTTTTGTAGTGACATTAAGTTCTGTGAATGTTATAGAAAGAGTAGTTCTGCGTTTTCCATTTGACTGATGAATGATGATAGGAATGGACTTGAAAACCCCTGTTAAATATTTGCTGCTGTAGTACTTTGAACTGTGTTTTTGCTCTTTGTAGCTGTTCTGACAGTGCTTATGCCTATCTTTGACTGGCTGACCCTTGGGCTGTTATGTCATCCAGTTTGACCCTAAGGTGTGCAGATGGCAGCTGAGATACAGAAGAAAATGTAGTGTACATTGCAAGCAAGTGTAAATTATCACTAAGGAAAAAAAAAAATTGTGCACTGTTTCCTTGCAAAAATGTGCAGATTACAGTAAAATTCTGTTTTTGTAGGTACTGAGTCTGGCTATAATATATCTAGCTTGGCAGTTTTGCTTAATTAGTTGAGACTGCACAGAGACGGGGTGCATACAATTATGTTGACTTGACATGCAGAAAATAAACTTTTATTGGAGTGCTGTGTGTGGGAGCAGTGGAGGACTGCGCTCTGGATGCGGGCTGTGCAAATGCCTGCAGTTACAGTGAGTGTGGGCAGGAAAGTCTGTATGTCAATTCAGTGTCATTGACAGGGACAGGATCTGATGCAGGCATGATTCTGAAGGTCTCAGTTTTATTGAAAGCACTCCTGAAAAGTGATCCCATGCTTTACAGCACTGAAATAGCCTCTCCACGCTTTTCCTTGTCCGCTTTCCTGACACCCCTTTGGGTTCAAAGCTTTTCCTCCAAATTCAGTGGATTGCTGTGGCTGGGTTTGATGTTCATCATACTCATATCGTGTTGAGGAGCTTCGATCACTTGTAGAGGAGTGTGAATGCTTGGATCAGATATCGAATGGGATGTTTGCCCCGTGCTTGTGGCAGGGACAGAAATGGGAGAGAAGAAACACAAGATAAGAAACGTGGGTTATCCACACAGGAATGATTTGATTGACCCCCTGTTGTAACGGAGGAATAAAACCCAACATACTTGTGAAAGCCAGCAGTAGATTGCAGAGATTTTCTGATGCTGAAAAAGCTTTGGTATTGGCTTAGAAACTCATTACGTGAGCATGGAGTCCAATTCTGTTTCCACATGTGCTTTTCTCTACCCTAAGTGTCCAGGGATCGTGTGCATATAGGATGTTTTCTGTCAACGCAGGGCAGAAGAGAACACTGCCAGTTTAAATTCCCCAGCTGAAAGCTGTTGTTCCACCTCTGTGCTAGAACAGAATGTTTCCCTAGATCATAATAAGCTGCTGAGTTAACATTTGTGATTTGGTGGAGACGATGCATTTTAAAATCTTACACAGGTGTCCCATTCTGCCTCTCGTATACAGTGAGCTGTGTCTGTCTCCAGAGCTGCTGTGGGAATGTGAGGGAGATGAATTCCACAAACAGTGTTTTGGAAAGCGGGTGGATTTTCTGTGAGGCTCCTCATTTCCCGGAGCAGCGTGTCTGGTTACCTTCATTTATTACTGCTGAACTCTTCTTTTGGAGGTGGGATGGAAAAGCAGAGGGCTGGAAAAATCTTCTAAACCACTGTATTTCCTCAGGGGCTACAGGGACTAACTGTCATTGCAGCAGGAATCTGAGGCTGACCTCACTTATAGCCATTCACTGTTGTAGCTTATTTCGTGCCAAAATGTCCACTGAAATCAGCCCTGAATCATGCTCTGCCAATGAATTTTCAGGTGCATCTTCAATCTCCCAGTCAGAAGTTTCAGTGACTTATTTGAGGGCCCAAACTGAGGTGGATGCCAAGGAATTCCAGACGTGCAGGTGAGGCCTGAGCTGGAGCTGTGCTGCTGGAGCCCCTGCAGCCTCTGCCGAGGGATGGGAAGGACTTCCATGATGCCGTCCTTCGGTATTTTCTATTTAAAAGGAAAAATAAAATCTCATCTGCTCTGCCAGTATCTTTTAAAGGAAAGTTTTACATTTTTAACTGAAATCACCGGTTAATGAATAATGTACAATCCAAAATACTCCTGAATTTACAGTTAGGAAGCTTTCAGGATTTCTCTGAACAGCAGCGCATGACTACAATTCCACAGAGGCTTAATTAAATGAGAGTTATGTTACAGACATAACCTTCTCTCTTATTGAGTACACGGTTTCCCATGTGCTCATGGCCTGGTTCAACTGGCTGAAGATGTGAATTAAAATTCATCAGCAGACCTAGGATTAAAAACAGTGGCAGCACACTTGTTCTTTTGGCTGAACACACGGTCGCTCTCTTGGCCTCCAGAAGGCACTCAGTGGCAGTGAAATTGCCATCCAGTCACACGTGAGAAGGAAGGAAACCAAGAATGTGTAATTTTTGTCCTCAGTTAAGCAAATATCAATGTAACGTTACCTTTCTACTCTGCCATTTGCTGCTATTTGCAGCAGAGCAGCGTTACTGAAGAACCATCGACCTTACCTAAACTGCTTATTTTTTAAAGACTCAGAATTTCTTGCCTTGCCAAAAAATGGTCACAATTACAGGTACTCAGTGGTGAATGCAGTGAGAGGTTCCTGTGCTGGTGCTGTGCTGAGCACACCTGGGGTCGGACGTTGGTGAGCTGCTCTCGTCTATAGTGGGAATGCATAAGTTCAAAGCCTGGATTGTAAGAGGGTCCAAAACTAGACTCCAAAAGTGGCTTTTAGAAATTGAACTCGCAATTGAATTCAAACATTTTTTTGTAGATACTAATTAGTTGTTCCTGTAAGTGGTCTTTACTTTCAGTATTCTGGAGTGGAAGAAGATGCGGTGTGTCAGTGGATCAGTGTCCTGACCCAGGGATGGGTGTAAGTGAGCTGAGGAAGTTTGCCTTCAAGTATCAAAGTGGAAATTACAGCTTTACTATAGCTTTGGCTCGGTAATTTTTACAGTGTTGTGGTTGGATAATAACTATGTTGTTTGTTACTCTCTGCTCCAAAAGAACTTTGTGAAGGACACCAACTCTGTTCAGGAACACAAAAGATCAATGTAGTTTTTTAGTGCCCAGTGTGAATTGTACTTATTCCTGATGATAAGTGCTTAGAAAAGCGACGGGGAAGAAAATGAAAATGTGTGTGTGCTGAGTGGGTGCCAAGTAATTACCACCAGCTGTCTGATTTTGGGGATGTACAGCAGGAGCAATCTTTAATTTTATCTGGGTGTGTCAGAAGCAGAGGAAATGTAACAACACGTCATCCTGAATCTACACGTAACGTTAATTGCAGAGCGTCGTTATCTCCATCAGCTTTATTTAGGGGATTTGGCAACAACAGTGAAGATGAAATAATGTATTTTGACAGCATTCACAGAGGATTTGAAGAAAAAATAATGGGATTGCCCAGCCATCCTCCTCTGAGAAGTGCCACTGTGCGTCGATGTGGGCCGTATCGCTTCTGGATGCGCTGTTAGGATTTCTTCTTTGCAGATGTATCTGAATGTGCTTTTTGTTCCTCACTTATCAGGAAATGTAGAAGTTTCTAATTGTTACTAGGAAAATAAGTTTAAATAGCACTAGATTATAACAATCTCTAAGCATTTCCCATGAAATGTGAAATTTCATGGAATTCAATTTTTAATCTGAATTTGCTGACTGTAGCTGCCCACTGGTATTTCTGGTGGTTTCTTGTTTATGTGAGACATAGACAGAAGGGAACATTAGTCTGTTACCTTCTGAAGGGTTGAATATTCTGCTCATTGTTTTAGATACTCTTTATAGCATGATTTCTGCTTTAGAGAACTTCAGTATTTATGTAAGATTATAAATCGTTGTGAAAAATCTCATAAAGCAGTGTTTTGTAACTAAAAAAAAAGCAGAAAGAACATGTTGAATCTTGCGTGGATAAAGTTAATGTAGGCTATGGTTATTTTGCATGCTGCAGATCTCAGACTTCAGAGCATGTGTCAGAAACAAGAGAGGATCTACTGGATGCAGGACCAGCAGGTGGACTGGAATACGAGACCAGCAAAAACCCAGAGGCTGGCCTGCCCTCCCTGTGTCTCAAGCAAGTGTTTCCAAAGTACGCCAAGCAGTTCAATTACCTGCGACTTGTGGACAGGGTGGCTGCGTTGTTCATCCGATTCCTTGGCGTCAAAGGGACAACAAAACTGGGGCCAACAGGTTTCCGGACATTTATAAGGTTAGTAACGTGCTTTATTTAGGAATGGCATGAGGTGAAATAGAACAGCTGGAAACTCAAGGTCCTGCTGGGCAGCGCTGCTGTCACTGAGCTCCTGTTGGATAAGAGCAGGCCCTAGCGTGGCAGGCTTTGAGCTGGGAGGTTCAGTGGTGCCTTCTGAAGGAACTTTTCCCCTGAAGTTCATTGAACCACTGCATGTTTAAAAAAAAAAATCCAAAGATGCCTGACCTGAGAAACCACGTCTCATAGAAATGTGGGTCTTTATCCTACAGCAGGTCACTGATACTTTGGGAGATACTATTTGCAGTCCTGGTCAACGTGTCACATTCTCACAGCTGTATTCCTGAGATGCACTAGAAACATGACAAATGAAATTGGGTCACTCGAGATCTGATTGCTGGCTGTGGGCACTGCCATCGGCCCCAGGCCAAAGCAAAGGATTTCAAATGCCAGTTATTGATGCACTGCACACTAAGGATTTACATCATGAAATTGCAACTTACAGTGGCAAGGAACTCCATTTATTATTTTTTTTTTTTCACATGCTTTTTTTTTGCGGGATTTTTTTCATTCTGTTTTTTATGGATGTATTTGTTGGAGTCATGGTGCAAATATCTCATTTTCTGTCTTTCATTGAGAATGACAAAAGAAATCAGCAGCAGCTGCAGATGTATTCCTAAAATACAAATTCTGTTTCGATGCAGATGCATTTAGCAGTCAGGAATGAATATAAACAATTTGATTTATTCAAATAACAGATATATAAATACTGAAGGCATCTGCTCTATCTACAGATCAGTGCAGGATGTTTTCTAGTTCTGTATTCTCTGTTGTTTAGTCAAGCCTTAATTTGGCACTTGTCAGATGAACACAGTATAAACGCCAGCATTTTCTTTTAATAATACTAAAATAAATGGCCATATCTCCATGAAATCGGCTTTGCAGTTTCCTCACGCACGTTAAATAAACTTTTTAACGTTGGCAAACGTTCTCTTTACTTTTCACCAGACGTCCACACCAACTGCAGAGCCTTCTTCCCGAAATGCTGTCTGTTGTGTGAAATATTCCCTCTCGTTTTTTCAAGAGTGAAACGGTATACAGCTGTGATTTGCCTGCAGATGTGTGTGGGCAGGTGGTTTCAAAGACTCCCTGCCCAAATTTTTGTTCCCCTTCAATAATTTCTTCATTCGAAAAAACAACTTAGAAAAATAAGCCACGGTCACAGATTTTTTTTCCTGGCTGGAGCTTTTGGCCGATGCTTTGGCACATGCACAAGTTCCAGCCATGCTGCCAGGCTCTGCGATCCAGGGCAGATGGCTCATTCTCATCTACTGATCAACACTGTCCTGTGGGCTCAGACCACACAAGTGTCAGATCTCCCACGTTTGCTTATCACCAAATGCCTAAGATCCATCCAAAGATGCTGCTGTTTTCCATGCAGTGTTCAGTAGCACATAAAATAAATCTGTGAGCGTGCTTAGGATACAGGGAGAACTTTCCCCATTGTCCTCTGTGTTGCTCTTGCATGGGTTTTTATGGCTTGGAAGTTTGGAAGTAATCAGATGTTTTGCTTTTTTGTTGTTCATTTTTAACAGAAACTGCAAGCTCAGTAACAGCAATTTTTCAATGGCTTCTGTAGATATCTTATACATTGATATCACACGAAGGTGGAACAGCATGGGAATTGATCACAAAGAATCAGGTAATGCTATTTTATATTTGAAGACCATGAAAATTGGTGATTTTTTGTTTTTGTGGGTAGTTTTGATAGCTTAAGCACCCCTGAAGCTTTCAGTAAAAATGATGGGAGCAAGGCACATCTATTTGGGGCATGTACAACAACTCCTAGCTACTTCCATGGCAGTTTGCCTGTATCTATAGATCACTCCTAGTTTTCAGTTATTTAATGGCATAAATCTGCCATAAGCCCCTGTTATGCTTGTAATTTAGCATTCATAACTCTTGTTGCAGGAGAGCGTTTAAAGGCATTCCCAATGGAGCTTCCAACTTAATTACAGTGTAAGAAGATATGTCCTTAATGGAGTAGCTTACATGGTCTAGCTAAGAGTTAAACAAAAACCTATGCCAGAGCTAGAAATAAATATGATTAACTTCATTTTGATTTAATTCTGTCATCCAAACTGGTTACTCTGGGGACACTGAAAACCAGCCATATTGCTTTCCAGAGAGTTCCCAGTTGCCCAACTATATACTCTCTTGTTTTCTTTTTTCCCCATTTTCACTGACTTTGTGTTGGCTGAGGGAAGGACAATTGATTTCTCTACAAACTCACACGGTGCTCACCATTAAATTGGCTCTTATTAAGGATGATTAGCAGTGCTTTTCCCTGCAAGCACCCCTTGTGGCAAATGATGCTTCTCTTTGTTCATGTAAGAGCATTAGTCATTTCAGTCGCTTTTAAACTTGTTTACATCCAGCGTGGTTTGTGATGTTCAATGTAAGAATATACTCAATATGGCTAAAAATCTTCTATAGGAAATGTATCTACTCCACCAGGGATTTTCCTGTCCTGGGACTTCCTTTCAGCTGCTCAGAGCTCCTTGTGCAGGAGCTGCCAGGCCCATGCTCACAGCGTGCCCCTTCCAGTGGTAGCTCAGTATTTGAACCATTTACCTCTCTATCAGGACAATGCATTTAAACTAAAATACATTTCTTGAAAACATTGGACAAGAAAAGCAGCTATGGGAAGCTGTTTGCTGAACAGCAGTAAGAATTCTTTAGAATTTTTAAGCCAAAAGGACAATGTTTATTAACCTCTGATCTTATTCCCAGCTCCCCTGGTGATTTCCTCTGTTACCATCGCGTATCTTCTTCGTTGTGCAGCTGAGTGGTTGGGAAAATGAATACAAATACCTCCCTGTTAGATAGTTACACTTCAAATATTTGCTTATTACAGAAAATATCTCACTATTTAATAAGCATGCTGGAGAGAACATCCCATCAATCTTTTTGGTTTCCTTTTAAAAATGTGATTACACTGATTATTTTTTAAATCTTTATGCATAGACATGAAGATTGGTTTCACCTCCAAAAAAAAAAAACAAAGCCCAGACCTCTCAGACCATCCAAGTCTCTTCTGTACAGTTCTGAAGTTACAAACTCTATTCAGTTTACCTGTATCCAGAGGAGAATTCATCTGCATTCCCTCCTGGGGCTTGTAAGACAGATTTCTCATAAATTCCTTTCAAAGGAAAACAAACTAATTGAAATGTCAGTGGTTTCTTTTGTGAGTTCGGCTCCTATCTGCTGCTCACACGGGAGGACAGGCGTTGTTAGATGTAATTAGTTTCCCTGTGGTGAGAAATGGTTGCAACAGCGCTGGATCCACACTGCTGACCCTTGGGCCCAGAGCTGACTGTGTGCAGGTCAGGGAGACGCTTCTGATGTCTTTCCTCCGCTGAAGTTTAGAAAGGATTTCTTGCAATGAAAACCTCTTCAAACCTAATTTTTGTAAATGTTTGTATATAATTTAGTCCTAAGTGGCAGCACGCTATGGATGCAGCATTAGGGGACTCTGAAGTACTGGATGCTGGAGATAATACCAGGATGCCCCATTTTCTGTTGCTTAATATGAAATTGCATTGTGTGCTTACCTGAGGTAAAGCAAATGATTTGCTCAAGAGAATAGGTGGTTACAAAACATCACTAAAGGGTTTCTTCTGCTGATTATTTTATGGACTTAGGTTGTTAAAGTAAGCACGCTTGCTTCATATATATTTCTGAAATGAGACTCAGGTATTTCTGTGGTAGACAGCACCAGGGCAGCAGAGCATCACTTCAGGGGCCTAATTTACTCACATCTTCTGAAAATCCCTCCTGTGCTGCCCAGCTGAACTGATGCCCAGGCTGATTTTGGACATCACTGTATATAATCTTTCATCTTTTCTGCTATTTTGACATTTTAATAAAAAAAACTCTCCGAGTTGAGGCTGACTTCAGGTATCCCTTGCAGATAATAGATCCGTAGGTCTCTTCTGCTGAGACATCAAGGATCTCAGTTTCACAGATGTGGAGAAGTTTCCAGGTCTGTCAGTGGTGTCTAGTCAGTTTCTTCTACAGATATGACACCCATGGGAAATGAGTATTTGCATTTAGGATTTCAGTGTGGTTTCTGTGGTGAGCTGGTATCATTTCCTTAGCAACTCCCCACTCCCTTCTGTTGTCTTTGCATTTGGCCTGCTTCCAGCTGTAGCCCATAGAGAACTGTTGCTGTAAAACTGCAGCTTCCAACTTTGTTCACTCAGTGCTTCACATGAGTGTCACTTACGGAGCAGGCAGCTGGATGTTGCTAAAGGTGCCTTCTCTGCCTGCAGCTCACCGTGACTGATAAAATAATTTACTGAGCTGGCAGCTGCTGCTTTCCGATAACCCAGCAGTTCTCTTGGAAGCTGTTTTATAGCCAAGATCGTGAGAGACCTCAGCTGCAGTCTTAGTTGAGAGAAATTATACTTTAGAATGTAATTGTAATATTTAGAAAAGGTGTTCTTCCTGCAGCATCGATAAACCAGTGTTGTTAGAAAAAAATACGTGCAAAAAACCAAACCTCATCCTAAACTGAACTTCTTAAAGTGTGTGCTCAAACTGGAGAGCCAATTAAATCACAGGGCAGCTGAAACGGTTCTACTCATGAAAAATGAAATTAGGCATTATTTTAAGGTTTTACATATAATATGTTAATATGTTAATATGCAGTTAATATGCAGCCCTTCTTTCCATTGGCTGTGCTAATGTGTTATCAGGTTAGTGTGATCAAAGAACACATGAAGAGTTCTGTACTGCAGTGTACTCTAGGTTGTGAAGGGGCAGAGAGTTTGTTACAGCAGCAGGATTTTCTGGCACTGCACCACTTTCCCTTCTTACGATTTCAGCTGTTTGTTTTTCCTTCAGTTGAAGTGAAACTTCTATTGTAGGACGCTTGGCTCTTAATTGACACGAGCCAAGACATCTAGGTGATATACAGAGAAAAAGGAGACCAACAAAATGTTTTCTTTGAAGCTCAGTGTGTTACTGTGTCTGATTTGCCTTCAACTTAATATTTGAGGCAAGAGAAACCACAGTTGGTTGTACATCAGCTTAATTGCACAGCATCTCGAAAGCAGTCTTTGCAGTACCAGTTTGGCTCAGGCTGCCTGGGTGCTGGTCAGGCTGGGGTCTGTAAAAACAGGAATAGCCTCAGTGAAATAGAGACACCAAACGGGCTCAGGTGTGTTACACGCAGACAGAACCTTGTCTTTTGGTCTTTGATTTTTGTTTTTTTTTCCTCTGTGTTTTTTCCACACTGTATATGGCTGCTGTATTAAATATGTTAACTGCACAACTTTATGTTCATACCTGGCCCGTAGACGTTTGGCGCTGGTAGCACAGAAATGAGGTACTGTTATGTTTATGTGCTGTGAATCTCCTTTAAAGTCACTTTCCTTGCAGGAATGTGTTTGCAAGCCTTTGTTGAAGCTTTCTTCTGTTTGGCTCAGAAAAAATACAAGTCGCTCCCTCTTCATGAGCAGGTGGCATCATTGATTGACTTCTGTGAGTATCACCTGGCTGCCCTGGATGAGAAGCGCCTGCTTTGCGGCCGAGGGGTTGTGGAGCGCCGAGGTGCAGCGGTTACTTGTCCGACAGATGGACTTGAGGTGACCCCAGCTCTGCACGCACCCCTCCTAAACCGCACGGCTGCAGCTGGTAAACTTGCAGATTGCAGAAGTCATCGCTATCCTGCTGCTGTTTCACCAGGAGCAGGGAGAGACTGAGAGAACTGAGAATTAATCTCAGGTATGTATAAGCTGCAGGATGAGGAAAAGACTCTTGAATTCCTTTTTTTTTCCTACTTATGCTCTTCAAAAAGTCCCGTTCTTAAATACTGATCCTTCCTCACAATGGCTACTATATTTTTTAACCTGTCCACTGAGCCTACAGTGCATCTCACGTGACAAACTGCTTTTATTTTGAAGGTGAAGACAAGGAACAAACAGACAGTGAGAAGATAACCAACATCATGGGAATTGGGTGCACCGCCTGAGAGGCACACTCATGTTAAGAAATTACATGCCTTGAATGCACTAAATGTATCATGGGCACCAATGAAGGAGCTGCAGTTGCAAGTTCCAGTTGTGTGTTTTTGAAAACAAAAACCTGGGATTATATTTTTGGTCAGACTTCAGGCTTTGACCCTGTTACTTCAGTTGCTTGGACTGGGCTTGTCGGTACTGGTACAGATCTGCTCGTTGCCCATAGCTATGCACTTACCTTTATAACTCAGTCTTAAACCTCTGAAATCATATTTCTGTTTCTACTTTGTACGTGTCCTTGCCATAAGAAGTGCTGTTAACTTTTTAAAGAAAAATGAGAGATGTTTGAGTCCTTTTGCTTCTGCAGAAACAATAAGATCACAATGATTCACAGCAAAAAAACACAAGCAACCAAGCTTCATTAAGTAACATTTGTTGACTTCAGTGTTGTTTTTTCTTCAAGTAGTAAGCACTGTTGCTGCAAAGAGCCTTACTGCATAAAGGTGTAAGAAGTCAACCAGGTCCAGAAGTCATCCAGGAGGACAGTCTGGTCACTTTAGGCTAAACTAATTGTATTCTAGGTTTGCTGATTTTCATACTACTTTGGTGTTTGCTATCTTATTTGGGCCTAGGTAACACCTAGAGCAGATTTTTTTGGACTTTGCACATAATCTTCATTTTTCTTCTACAACTTAGATCTATATTATTCAACAGGATATTTTGTCAAGAATGCTGGACTCCACTGGAGCTCTTTTGGAGGAGTTCTACTCTTATTTTTCAAGCAATGAACTGTGAGTTGCATAATCACACTCTTGGGGAGGGGGCTAAAGAGACAGACTGGCTGAAAAGGACACAGATAACTTGGTGCATCGGTGCTGTTCAGTCGATTTTTTTCTGGTCTCATATTTTATGATGATAATGTATAATGTGATTTTCCTCCTTTGTTTTTTTATTTAATGTTAATAATCTACTCATGTTCCAGCGCTTGTCATACTGTCAAAAATGACAAAATATTAAGAAGGCACAATGTTTGGGCAGTGAGGTTTGGTTTGAGCAAATGACCTGATCTTGATGTCTGAATCTTCCAGTGGCTGACGTACAAGAATTGTTGTCTGCCATACAGGGATCGTGCTGTCAGTGTGGAGAAAGTCCTCACACTGAATGTCAAGGACTAACTGCACACTCAGTATGGAGTGACTTTTTACTCTAGGGAATGTTTAGGATTTACTTTCTGATGTTTTGTTTTTAAACAGCATGCTGTTTTCCCAAGTGAGCATGGCAGTGCAACACAGAAGTCAAGGTTGGCTTGCAAGAATCTAATGCCTAGCATGTGTTATAATAACAACTGTGGGAGTAGCTGCTTCTCTTTTCCTTCTCTTTCTGTAACACAAGTCAGAGCAGTAGTAGACACTTGGTTTTGTTCAGTGTTTGTAATTTTTTGTACATAATGCCACTGCCCTCTGCCTTGTTTAAGTTTCATAAGGATTATTGCAGTATGAAGATAAAATGCCAAACTCTGAGGTCTGGCAGCTGTCAGAACAAACGAAGTTGAAAGGGTCATTTTTTTTCAATCTCATTGTAATATATTTGAAGACATTCCCAAGTTGAAAAATGGTTGCTTCTCATTTTGTGACATCTGACATTTGTCTTGCGATTGGCAGTGTGTTACTAGAAAATAGCTTACAGTTTCCCTCATCTTGTGATTGATGTTCTGTAAAGACAGGGGTAGAGAAGACTAGGATTTGAAATAGTGCAGATGTGAATACTTTTCTTTGGAGCTTTCAAGTAGTACAGCCTATGCCCTAAAACACTCTTTTTGGCTACTACAGAAGTTACCCTGGTATCAGTGGATTAAATTAGCTATTGTACATAAAGAGCACTGGAGATCTTTATATTCTCTGGATCTCATACAGATTTTCATAACCTGTGCATACACAGGCTGATGCAGTATACTCTATTTCCTATTTCGAATATGACCCTCGTGGAGTAGGTAAAAGATTTAATGATCTGCCTCTGGTAACTCAGTGTTCATACATTTATCTAATTGGAAAATTGAGTGGCACATTATTCCTGGGGGAGGAGAGGGGAAAGTGCAGTAAATAGGAGTGCACTCGAGAGTCATCACAACAAAGTCACATTTCTCTTCCCTCCCATCTAATGCAGTACTTGCAGTACTATTTAGCATCCAAAGCAATTTCACGTAGCCCTTAAGTGGTCTGTGCAAACACAAGAAAGTGACCAGAGATACTGAATTTGGAATATGAACGCAAATGCACTGATAATCTGTTAATCCTGAGATAGCTTTCTAGCAGAAAAATGATATGTGAAAGGTAGACAAGCATTTTTTAATAGTATTTTTAATATAATCTTTTCAGAGAATAACATAGCATTCAGTATTCCATTTATGAACATATATAAACATTACATACCAGGGAAATCTTTCTTATTATCAGACACATTGGGTCTGGTATTCCTCACTGGGCACAAATCCAAGTAAAACACCTGAACATCTAAAGCAGAATTGAGGCAAGTGTGTACAGAACTTCAGTCTAGTCATCTCCTCTCCCTGCAGGCTTGTCGCTATCCTGAATGTGCCTCTATTTGCTGGGTGATTCCTTGTTTGACTCCAAGTTATGTGAGTTGTTATTCTGCATAGAGCTCTTGTCTTCTGAGTTGGCTGAAATTTGTCTTCTGCCTCTAACTTGATTTGAAACTTGAAACTGAACTGCCCTCTCTGCCCGGATTGCTTTACTTGCCATGCACTCCTAGCAACTTTCTTTCAAAACCAGCTCTGAAATGGAGCTATTGAGCTAATTAGGCACTTAATGCTTGCTCAGGTGTGAGACCCCAGTCCACCTGCTTCAGAGTTTGTCTCAGCTGCAGCTCTCCTCCCCTTGCTCTGCAGGTGTTCTCCCCATGCATTAATTTTGTGTTAAGCCCATCATCAGGTGACCAGAGCCCCCTTCCAAGAGATGGAAAATGCAGTGTGGAAACCTTTGTGATGAGGAGGGATCTCATCCTCCTCTCATCTGAGCTCTGCCTAGTTCATTGGACACAGGGTAGGTGCATGCTCTCACACTCTGAGTTGGAAGGGGCTGGGGCCTCTGCAGATGCTATGGTGTGACCAGGACATTGCTCCCAGCTGTGTGAGCTGTTGAATCTGAAGCTGCCAGTGGAGCAGCTGCTGCCTGGATCCTGCCTGGTTTGGATCTCGGCTGCTGCTCCAGCCTGCTGTGACAGGAGTTGTAGTTTTCTTGCAACATGTCTTCCATAGCAATGTGGAGCTGCGCCCTGACCAGCTCTGTGCTTGCTTGTGCTCACAGCCCTTAAGCTTTAAAGAGGGAAGGAGCTTTATGACATCTCCTGCTCAGTGTTGCTCAGTGGCTTCTCATTCCCTGCTGGCTTTTTTGTGCACACATGAAACAGGAGCCTCATCACCTGCACTGCAATCAGTCATGGTGGCAGCTCTTTGTTCCTTGCCAGCCCTGCCCGACCTTACTCTGATTTCTGTCTGATGGACAGTGACAATCTGCTTCTCAGTATTGCCTAGTTCCCTCTAATTTGTTTTCTTTTCCATCATGGTTTACTGAGTTTCTTCCTAATTCCACAGTTTTGCTTTTCAGCTTGCCTAATAAAGTGATGGGTCTATTTGCCTGATTCTATTAGTTTATCTTCCTGTGTTGCTCTACACTGTTTTCTGGAAGACAAGTGTCTTCATTCTGAAGCTGAATCTCCCCTGCTTCATCTCTTCGGGGCATTACCGTGCATCAGTGCGAGCCTTTCCATCTGCTTGATGAGATTGATCTCTGCAGCTTTATTAGGTTAGTGCCTGCCCTCTGGCTTCAGCCTGTCATGGAAATGGCGGTTTCCAGAGCACGGGCTTCCTTTCTTTGAGTTTTAGAGGTGATAAATGTTCAACAAATGAAACCCTTACAATGGTGGCACCCTGACAGGGCGCTGGGACCGCGTGTGGGGCACGGCCACGGCTGCCCCGTGCTGCTCCACAGCCCTATTTTTGAGATAACGTGAAGGGCTGCAAACGGTGCTAAAGCTGAACGCGCTGTGCTTTGTGCCCAGCTACGCGCTCTCTGGAAACCACAACAGCGCTTCTCTGGGACGACTGCAGGACAAGTGCCGCAAGGAGCGCCGTTGGCTGCGGCTCCGCTCCCGCCAGGCTGTGGCTCGGCGCGGGACCGCCGCTCCGCTCTGCCGTCCGTTGCTGCTGTCAGTCGTTTAAAGCACGGAATGCGACGCACGAGCCGCGCCGGGCCGCTCGGCGCGATGCCGACACGCGCTCCCTCGCGGCCCAATCCCGCACAGCTGTGCAGGGCGGGCCGAGCCTCTCGGCTCAGCTGCCCGGGCTGGGCGCTCGTCCCGGCCGAGGTCGTAGCGTAGCGCTGTGAGCGCGCAGCTGCTCCGCGCACCGGCGCTGCGTGCGCTCCCTCGGGAGCGTCGGGACCGACTGCGGGACGCGGCCCAACCGGAGCGGGGCTTCGAGGTCCCGCTGCCCGCAGCTCGGAGAGCCGCACAGCAGCCCGGAGGGCCTGAGGTGAGAGCGGGGCAGAAACGCGGGGAGCTCGGTGAGGCGGGGCGGGCGGGACGCGAGCATCGGTTCTGCGGGCGGAGGGCGGCTGGGGCAGCGCGCCTCGAGGGCCAAATGGGGATCGCGACTGCTGAATAAAACGCATGTTGGCACTGCGTAACGACGTGTATTTAACGAGCAGTGCTTGTCAGCGGGCTGTCCCTGAACGGAGGGCTCACTCGTGGCAGTCGTTACTGCTCTCCAGCGCTGACGGGCGGGCGGCCCGCTGGCTTCCAGGCTGCGGCACGCGGTCTGCTGGGCGCTGGGCTTCTCTCCGCCTCCGTGCTCTGCCACGTGCAGAGCTGATGGAAGCTTCGCGAAGCACGGAGGGGCCTCTTTAGTGCATCGGTGCTGCCGGGCGGAGCTGTAGGGTTGTCGTGGTGGCACCGAGAGTTGCCTGAAAGCCAGGCAGGCTGGCCCCCAGCTCTAGTAATATTGCTCAGGTTACTGCTAAACGGGTGCGAATTCAGTAGCGATTTGTAAGCGCTGTTAGGAAATGCTCTGCTAACAAGTCCTGGACTGAGGGAATCCGTGCAGATAAAAGGGGAAGAATCTGGTTTCCTTTTGCAGCCCACAGCAGTGAGTGCAGGAGGAGGCGGCCGGAGCCCCGAGGGTTTCTGCTCATTGCAAGAGTGAGTGATCTTTAGTGGAACCTAAACAGAGCTTTAGAAAAGTCTTTTTTTTCCCTGCCCTATGCTCACCCCTTGCCCTCTGTTTTAATCGAAGTAGTTCACTTGGTTTATTTTTCTTGAAGCTCTTGTTATCACAGCTTTTAACTTAGGGGTTTTTTCCTTTGCTTTTGCTTTTGTCTTCCTGCTTCTCCATTGCTGTCATTAGGAAGGAGGGGAGAACCAAACTCTCACCTTCTGTCTCGCTATTGTGCTTATTTTTGGTGTTACCCAGAAATTAGAATGTTGGACTGTGTGCTTCTCCCTGACGTTACCAGTGTTGGGGAGCTGTGTAAGGGCTGACTGAAGAGCTCTGAGCTTCCCCAGCTCCCTGCCAGCACTGGCAAGGAGAGACGTGGGACTGTGGAGCTCCTTCTGTCTCCTCTGGCAGAGCTTTGTTCCAGCTGTCCTTTGGGGCAGGCTGTGTAATGCGGACCTGTGTGGCAGGAGAGCAGTGCTGAAAGCCAGCTGCCCTGCCGTTATCTGCAGCCTTTCTGATGTGAGGCTGAATTTGCCAGGCACCTGCCACTGTCCAAACAGTTTTTGTGGCTTCCAGTTTCTGTGACGAACAGGTCTGTGCACGGTTGCCTTAGTCTCTGTTATCCTTGCTTACAAGATGGCTGCAAAAACTTATTGGTGGCACAGTCAGCAATTAAAGCTATGATTTTTATTGAGTATTGTTTCCATTTAAAAATGAATTTGGAAGTAACTGCTGCCTCTGATTGAGGCCATGCATATTTGCAGCCCTGTGCGTCCCTGCAGTGGGCTCCTTGTGGCCTTCCTTGCCAGCTGCTGCCAGAAGCAAGCTTCGTGCCCGTTCCTCTTATAGTGCCCTGCAGTTTGTGCCAGATGGGTCAGCTGCCTTGGGTTAGGCCAGGCCAGAGATGCTCTGTTCTTGCAGCCCTGCTGCTGGCTGTCAGCTTTATCCTCTTCTTGTACTAGTGGTCCTGCCTTGGGCCTGGGGCTTTCCTTCGTGTTGACTGGGATTGCTGGCTGTGAAGTGCTCCAGGTGATGATTTGCACGCATTCCTCATGAAAGTGTTGAGGCATTGACAAGCACTGGCCCAAGCTACTTAGCCCGATGCCTTGTTGTGCTTTGCTGTCTAGTTACGTGGGTTATTCACTTCCTGATTTAAATGCTGTAAAATCCTTGCTAGTGTTCTGCACGGTGGTTAACAGAAGTGGCTCTGAGAGGCCAAGCTGCAGCAGCAGCTCAATCAGGGCCAGTTACTGAGGCTGCTGCTCTTGCTGGGCTGCTCTGCTTCTTGCTGCACAGTTGAGCAAGTGCAAACCTCTCAGAGCAGAGCCCCAGCTGAGTGCTCGTTGCTCTCAGGCAGTGGCTGGTTTTGTAGCTGATGCCTACTTGCAGAGGTGCCAGCTGGTGTGGCTGCTAATGCTGCTGCCTGCAGGCGCACCCAGGTTCCGTTGCAGGCGTTGCAAGAAACCTGTCCTAAAAATGTGAGGAGATCACTGCTGCCTCTCTCTGTGTCTAACTGCTGCTAGAGTTACTGCTTCAGCTTTCTTTGTGTGTGGGAGAGGTGCTTATTCTTTTCTTTTTTTTTTTTTTTAATGCATAGTTCTGGGAGGAGAAATCATGGTTTTCTTCTGAATCAGCTCACTTTAACAGCAGAGGCTTCCAGCAGTGGCAAATCATGAGAGTGCAGAAAGGCAGGATAGCCCTGCTTGCTTGATTTGTTTCAGAAGGGTGAGGACCTGAGCCCTGTGCTAGCCTGCCCAGTTGTGTGTAGCAGAGCTCATGCTTTTATTGCTGCTCTCCTTACTTTCTCTTGACCTTAAGCACAGAGATGATGCACACAAAAACAAACACAAAAAAACTGCTACCCAAATAAATCCATCTGGTCCCTGTCTCAGCCTCATTTAACCTCCTCTTGAAGAGGCTGCATCACAGGGTATTCAGCTGAAACCTATTACCTTGCATGCCCAAGCACATCATATTGAATTACCTTCACCTATAGGCCTGGAGTGTTTGTTAATAGCAAATGGCATCTTCTAAGTTTGAGGTGATTTATTTGAGTACGCTTCTGTTTAACAGTGCAGTGGGGGCTGTGCAGTGGTGTTTTAACCAGAGCTCAGCCCAGGGATGCAGGTGAGCTCTGCAGGAAAGGTCAGCAGGAGCTAAGTACGGGCTTGCTCACACCTCATGAGTGCAGCAGAGCCACACTGACCTTTCTGTGCATTCCTATTGCACTGGTGTGTTAAAGGGCAACGTAACTTGGCTGAAAATAACCCCTTGTGTGCATTTCATCTTGTCCTCAGCTATCAGAGAAGTTAGTGGTTGAGCTTAGATTCACAGTGATGCATGGTCTGTCGGGTGGCATTCGGCATCACTGCCCGATTTGCCTGGTGACATCCCAGTGGGTTCACGCAGCCTCTCTTTATTAGCAGAGTTTGAGCCACGCTCAGATAGAGAGCTCTTATGGCTAGATTAGCAAACAGTGCAGTTTGTTAAAGCAACAGATTACAAGTTCTTTTGAATTGATGGGTATAAATGCGCTCTCTACCAAGTGTGTGAGATTAACCAGTCTCACCATTATCCACTGGCTGGTCCCAGAAGTCAGAGATGGTCTGTGTCTGACTTGTCTGTGGTGGTATCTTCCTGACACCCCTCTCTTAAGCTATTTCTTACCACACAGGTGGAGCTTGAGGGGCTCTGTCGTACGTACCTTTATTCTGATTGATGTAAGATTCTTTCACCTTGTTTTTAAAGAGTCACTCAGTGAGCAGTGGTCGCGCCGTGGAGGCTGGTTGTTTTTTTGGATGGAGGCGTCTTTGGGTATTTACAATGAGGGCCAAATGAGCAAAGTTCACCCAGAGGACAGCATTTGGTCAGAAAATAAGTCTTGGCTCAGGGTAGCAAACATTAGCTTAGCGTCTCCATATTCCCATCCTGGTGTCCTTGGAATCAGTCCATCAGGTTCTTACGTTTGTGGCACCTCAGCTTGCGCAGGGATCTGATGTGGATCACAGAGCTGGGCCTCACTGTCCACTCAGCTCTGCCCTCTGTGCCTTTTATTGCCATACCAGTTACACTCTGCTCTTGTACTTCTGTGAACAGCCTTGTACTGTAATTTCCAGTGAACAATGCTGTATCTTAATTTCCAAGGCACCTACAGCAATTACTGCACAGCCACCAGCCTCAGGGAAGCAAGCATTGATCATGGGAGCAGCTTCACGTGGCTGCACGCAGTGAGGGCTGTGGGAGGTGTGAGTGAGTGTTTGGTGCCCTGCATGGTCACAGGATGGAAGCAGGGTGATCCTGGGAGGATGGGGCCACGTGGTTCCCCACATCTCTAGGGATTCTGTGGGAAGGGAGCTGGGCTGCCGTGGCTGTCCTGTCCCACCGAGGCAATGCATCAGCTGTGCCTGAGGTAGCTCTGTGGGAGATG